GACTGATTTCAGTTGCAACATTAGTAATAGAAACACGGAACTGAGACCTCTCCTTCTTCACTGGAATTACAATCCCTCCATAGAATTTCCTCCCATAACTCTGTCCTAAAATCACAAATTTTCTTTAGTTTTGATATGAAGAAGTGATGATTGGAAAGTAAGGGTTTTAATGTGAAAAAATGATGGCCTTATTCGTCAAGAGAGTAGGGCTAGATGTGAGTGATGGAGGATGTGAGTGTGAGGATTTCGATAAAAGGGTTTGAAGGTATAAATGATGGATGTAATTTGTAAATGAAGGTTTTGATCAAGGTCTAGAGAAGATGAAGTGGCAGGGCGGTAGAGAAGATTGAAGTTGCAATGTGTGTCATTGATATGGTAGGGTGTAAGTGGTCTTAGTTATTTTTCTTTTTAGGTTTTTTTTCTTTCTTTTTTTGTTACAGTCTTATTATTTTTAAATTTTCTTAAATTGCTCTTAGATATGGGTCATACTTGGGTCTAGTCTGGATTGCTCAGTGCCATGTGACATTTTTTATCACAAAATTATGACAGTAGTTAGCATTTGGACTAAAGTGGGAAATAAAGGATAGTTTAGGAATCAAAGTGAGAGAATCTTCACTTTAGGCGGCAAAGTGAGAAATAGGGTATACCTTAGGGGTTAAAATATAATTTACCCATTATAGATAGATAGATTGAGAAACTAAAACATAATGTAGTGTAGAGTTATAATGTTAAGAATTTTGGAGATATGGCATTTAAGTGGCTTAGAGAGGACATGTCTCCAACAAGCAAGATTTGTATTCATTAGAACTCTAACCCTTTTGGTGCCAAGAATTTCAAATAACTGCATTGTTATTTCAAATTCATCCATTTTGATAAAAAAAAAATTAATTAATTAAATTTTAAAATATATTTTTTAATTATTATTTTTAAAATAATTAGTGCCAAAAAATCTCTTTATTTTAAATTTATGAATCCAAACAAAACCTAAATCCACCCAAGTTTTGGAGGAAGTTGATTGGAGAAGTAATAGTAAGTGCTTTAGGATTGTTTTGATAATTGATTTTTAAGTAATCTTTGACTTTTTACGAAAAGACATGTGAAAAAGTAGAAAGAATAATTAATTTTATAGTGAATTTTTTATTCTTTAACTAAAATTATATGTTTCTAAAATACGCCAGCTTTTCATCATTTTTTATTGGGTTAATTACACCGAAATTTAGAAATGGCAACGGGACGGGGCGGGGCAGGGGATCACACTCCCCGTTCCTGATCCCCGATGGTAATAATTTCCCCGGCCCCGGCCCCGATCCCCGACAGGGAACCTATCACCGTCCCCATCCCCGCCCCCTAACGGGAATCGGGTTTCCCCGACCCCGAAAATTTCCCGACCAATCTGTTTCAACAACATCGTCAACAACTTTCAACATCAACAAAACCATCAAAAACATCATCAACAAGTGGTGACAAAATTATCATCAACAACAAAACAAATCATCAACACTGTATGCATCAACTACCCAAAAAAAAGAAAAAAAAAAAGACAAACAGAGACACACTACTGTCAACAGAGGAGCTTCTATAGAAGAACTCTCCGAACCTGTAGAAACGGTGGTGCTAGTTTTGGATCCCATTTGCTTCATCTTCTCCATCCGTCGCAAGGACGTTGTGTTCGAATAGGCGAGTCAAGGGCTGAGTCAAATCGAATTGCTGAGCTAGATCTGAGATCTGGGATTATCGGAGATCTACCATTGTTATGTTCGGCTCTCAGATCTATTGTGGGTTTCGCAGATCTGAAATTAGAGAGAGGTGCGAGAGTGAGAGAGAGAGAGAGACTCTAAGTGAGTGAGACGAAGAGAGAGATGAGAGATGAGAGACGTGAGGGAGACAGAGAGTAAACGGAAGACAGAGAGAGAGTAGATAAGTAATAACAGAGAGAGAAAGAGAGAGAAGTAGTACACAAGTGTATATTATATAATATATATATTAGTCGGGAACAAATCGGGCCGGGGTCGGGGTTTGGACACTTCTCACCATCCCCGGCCCGAAATTGATCGGGAATTAATTTTTAAATACCATCCCTATCTCGTCGGGGGTATTTTTCGGAAAAAAACCGTTCAAATCGGGATCGGGAGATCGGGTTCCCATCGGGCCGGTTTCAAATTGTCATCCCTACCAAGATTGCCTCAACTATTAGGTGAATATCACTTTAATTTTTCCATCATTTTTTTTTAGTTAATTAAACCAAGATCCCCTCAACATTTAGTGAATATCATTTTGTCCTCCTTATCTATGAACCTCAACTATGAAAATTGTACAAATACACTCTTTTTGGAGATAGCCTTGAGGTGGTAAAAATAATATATTTTTATAATCAAACGGGTCAAAATGTACAGATTAATAGATAAGGAAGGTAATGTGATATTTGGGAATAATTGAGGGGTCTTGCATGGTTATCAGAATCCCGATCCGGATCTTACGATCCTACGATCTTACGATTCATTTGAGTACAATCGATCCGGATCGTGTAAAAAACTCCTTATAGGTTCCTTCGATCCTGGTAATGGGATCTTATAGGATCGTAGAATCTCGATCCGAATCCGATCCTATTCGATCCAATTTACAAGCGTTGTTTTGTATTGTATGACATATTTTATTGTAAATTTTATGTTTGTTGTCTAAATACCAATTTATGTGGTCAAAATAAATAATAAAAATTAAGTAGTATTGAATCAAATAGACTAAAAAAAACAAACTAGGAAACAAACATTCAAATATTGTGGTAATTTAAGAAAATTAAATAGTCGGAAAAACAAACTTAGCTTTTGCGGAGACTAAGGAGGGTAAAATGATTGCAACTTTATCCCAATTTTTGGAGAGATTATTTTTGTGACTCGAATCCGCTCCACCAAGAATGCTAACGACAAACCTTATCATTCAACTAAACTACTCTTTTGAGTTTTTAATCTATTTTCATATCCAACTTTGTTAAATATTTTTTCTTTACTTTTTATGCATTATTGTAGATTGTAAAGTATTTTGTTATAGAATTATTCTTCTTCTGCACCTTATTTTTTGATGAAATACAAAACTTTTACCATCGAGTTTTCTATTGTATAATATTATATGTACATTTTACATGGAGTATTGTATTTTTCACAATATCTTCACTTCTTTTTAATAGAATATAGGCTCATTTTGTGTATACTTTATAAGAAATATTTATTTAAATTAAATTATTATGTAATTTGTTTTTTTCGGTAGGATCTTACGATCCTCGATCCGATTTTACGATCCGATCCTATAAACACCTCTAACGATCCAACGTAGGATCCCGATTTTAACAAGCTTGGGGTCTTGGTACAACTAACTCTACTTTATTTCATGTTCAAAATTTGCTATAAAAGTATAATTATCATATAATTATATTATATGATATATAAAATCATTATCTATAAATATACAATTTATATAAATATACCGTAAGGCTTCATCAAAACTGAACTCTTCAACGTATATGGTTGACGCCGATCTACTTTGAGTCTTAAATATACAATTCATTACTTTAATATGATCTTCTTTCATTCCTAATCTTCTTTCAATCTGAAAATTGCAGATTATTAAGTGATTATAATCTACTTGAATTCCTCTACTGACTTAACTTTATCTGCACGAATTGAAACAGTTTTCATTTGTATTTGTCCAGAATATAAATAGTAAAGTTACTTATTTTAAAAATGTTCATATTTTTAGATAATGTTAGAAAATGAGATAATTTTATTATTTATATTTTCAACAATATCATAACTATCTAACCTCTGAATGGGTTTCAAAGACTTGTCAACTGGACTAATTTCAATTTTGTATCATAATTGATTCATTTTATAAGCACGCAAGAAAGAAAAGCAATACTTAAGAAAATATTTAAAATTTGAACTATGTAAGTCTGGCCTATTGTAAGTGTGATCCATACCACACTAGATTTTAATCGGTCATATAGATTCAAATTTTGATTGTATATTAGTTGAAGCTTTTATTTTAGGGTTGAACTTTTCTCATGTTGGAATCTCAACATAAGAAAACTCAAGGGATTTGTAAAGCCTATCATATGTTCCATCTCGATAATCCGAAACATTTACTTTCTAGGACTTGTTGTGTAGACTATTTATACAAAAAATCAAGATAATCAAATATCGGTAGATATATGTTTGAATAAAATTTATATTATAAAAATTAGATTGTTATTTTTGAAATTATATTTGTCGCCTATTTCTTAAAAATAAATATGATTCAAATATATAGTTATCGATATCTAATTTTTTTGCATGAATATTCTACTCAATGAAGTGAATGGTTCACGGAATTGATTTCAAAATAGGCCTACCAAATCCAAATGTTCTTTTCAGTTGAGATCTCAAGTTGAGAGAAGGCAAACACTTTATTTTAATATAGAGTAATTTATTAATTGTAATGACATTTGCTAAGGCCATCTTTTGGATTTCCCTAGGAAATGACATCATTCCATAATGCAATGCAATGCAACACAAACAGAATATACCCAAAAAAAAGTTGAAATTACGAAAAGGTTCACATTCAAAATAAATTTTAGTCTACCATTAAATTTTTATGTGCTTTAATTTTGTATTCTTAGTATTAATGTTTCATAATATTTTCCATGGGTCATTTGAGAACAATTCATTGTTTTATGTATCTGCCCATGGGTGTGCAAAAACTACATTATATCAGTTCTCGTACTTATACAAAAATTAATTACAGAAGATTGTATCTAATTCTGTAATTAATTTTTTTGTTTATATAGTCATTTCATATATTATACATAGGAACATATTGAACCATTTTTTGGACGATTTGTTTTCTTCACTATCCACTGTCATTGAAGAATGACCTTTCTCAATGAATATCCATCTATTCATGAATATATAGTTGGAAATTGTTTGATACATAATGCAACTGATAATTTTATTTTTATTTTTTTGTTGCAGGAAATGTGCGGCAGATTTGGTGATAGGAATTAGTCAGAAATCAAAGTCTGTTGAAGTTGCAGATTGTCAATCTATTGCTGCTTTTCTTTTCTTTTCTTTTCTTTTCTTTTTTTTCTCTTGGCCAATAGTGATAACTGAAACTCACAGTCTAAGGGAATTTTCATATAAATAATTCTCATCATGTATGGTTTGGTATGCTAGGTTTTGTGGGTTCCCATTTTGTTTTTTATATTTTAAAATTTGTATGATCTTATCAGGTCACAACACTCTTTATTTTATATATAAGGGAAGTTGTATGCTTAAAGTTGTGACTTTGCATAATTCATAATAACTTCCTACATAGAATATGTATTTATTTCTCATTTTGAAAATGCAATACAAACTAACAAATTTCATTAATATTTTTACTGACATAATATATGAAAAGTTAGTTTATATAGCGTTACTCTTCTCCCTCATCTATATTTTTTTTGTCTTCTAATGTAATACTATCTATTATATGACTCCTCGTTTGTGAATTATACTACACAGATCATATGAAAAGCATATTAAAGCAGGTCTTGTCAGACGAATTGTGGGTTAGGCCAAGTTTCAACCGTTGGATAATTTTTAAAATATTATTTATTTTAAACTAATTTAGCCTAACAAAAAATAGTTAGAGATTAATGATTGTCTCGGTTTAGGCATACTATTACTACAAAGTTGTCATAACACATTATAATTAATTTGAATATTACTTAATGTGCTTTAAGCCTATAAAATTTTACGAGTGGTCTAGTTAAAAAAAAAAATTAAACAAAAAAAATAATAATAAGAGACTAATCTAACAAGATTTTATTGCTTTTAGAAGAAAAAAAATTATTTTATATGATTTAGCAAATAAAAATCTTATGAGACGTGTCATATTGTAAATTCCATACAATACAAGTTCTCTCCACACTCCTCTCTCTCTATGCATTGAAGGACTGTGGTTTAATAATGGTGGGTGCAGAAAGAACTCTTCTGGTACATTCAGAAGTATAAAAAAAATGTATAAAATAAAGGAAAGGTTTAAAACGTGTTTGGGAGGCGTGCTTTTCTCTTCTTCTAAATATATTCCATGTCATTGTGTACGATTTTTTAACTTTTTTTCTATCACAGAAAAAAAAAATTTATTGATACAAATTAAAAGTACGAGTACAACCAACTTTCATCAATAAAAATGAAAAAAAAAAAAAAAAACCAAAACATTATTTCTTAGAGAATATATTCCAACTAAATTGGCACATTTTAGAGGCCTACATATCTCTATATATTTAATAATGATGCAATTTGAACACCTCGATATGAATATTTTTTTTGATGAGCAAAAAAGAATTTATTAATATAAGATAAAAACATACAATAAGAAGGTTATGGATGAAATTGCATCATTATCAAAACCTCACATCTCAACTATGTTGGCACCCGAGTCAAGACCAATCATATGCACACTCATAACAAATTGGAGAGATTCCAATATAAACAAGCAAAAATAGGAAGCAATACTACACCCAGACAACCCACTCCGCTCCCAGTCCTAACACAATATAGTACCTGTTCCAAATTGAAAATTGAATATTGATGTAATACTACACATCGATTTGAATATTGATGTAATCTCTTGTACTTAGTCGTTTACATTAATATACTTCCTTTTTTTGATTCCCAAAAGAATTTATAAAAAAAAAAAATCATACAACAAATTCATATATAGTTCACACATCACTCTCTTTAATACCTAATAAAGAGCATTTGAGATTTGATCTTTTCTCTCCAGTCTTTTTCACTGGTAGCTTTTTATGTACATTGTACAAAACATGTTCTAACATTTTGATTCCTTAATACCAACTTACAAGACAATTAGTCTCTTGCGCGCCACCTTTCCCTTTTTAATAAATGAAAAAATAAGCTTATATTGCTCACAAATTATATAAAGGCATTAATACCCTTCATATAGGTTGGGTTGTTACATATGGAATCCTCATAGTAGGTTGGAACAACATCCTATCAATTTGAAAATAATAGTTTGAGAAAGCAAGAGAATGCTTCACTTTTCTCCATGTGAGTAAGAGTAGCACGAAAATAGGGATAGCAATATTGATCTGATGATATAAACCACCAACACCAATGATGAATTTGGAGGAGGGGGCGGCCACACACTCAAAAATTTGAAAAATATCATATATTATACTAAAAATTTTAAAATAATTTAAAACTATAGAAGTTCGCATCCCAAATTTTTTTAAAATAATTTCAAAATTATATAGAGTAGCCCTCTAATTTTTTACACTATAGAGTAACCCTCCAAAATCATAATCCTGAATCCGTCCCTAACACCTTCCTAGTTAGGGATCTATGCATCGGAAAAATGCTCTAGCGACTGGAAATCAACCACCACTAGTTACAAATCTTCAATATATATCATAGTTATGTGCGAAGCAATTTGGCATTGATGTAACAAAAAACGTGTAAGGCCAAAATTTGTAGAGAACCAAGATATTGTAAGTTAATGACTTTCAAAAGCACGTGCTGGTAGAGTTAAAAAGGTGTTGCCTGAGATGAGATTACTGGGGAAGCATAGATTACTTTTGATTGCCTCTCAATAGTCTTCTTGTCTATTTTGGTGAATGGTTCAAAGCCACAAAAAGGACTGCGTCAAGGTGATTCACTTTCTTTTCTTTCCTTTTTTGTGTATTTTAGTGGCTAAAGTCTCAATGTTCTGTTTAATAGGACAAGGCAAAGAAATTTGATTTATGGAGTTGAAATTGGTATGAGTTGGTATTGACTCATCTTCTGTTTGTCCTAATATTTTGTTGTTTTGATATACATATATATATATATATATATTTTAATTTTATACTTTTGACTCCATATTTCACAAATATAAAGCGGTGGCCGCTTATAAAACCCAAAGAAAACGACTAAAATTTTAAAAAATAAAAGATAAAAATCCTTAAGTTAAAAGAAACTGTATAATTTGAAATTAAGGTCTCGTTTGGAATAACCTATTTTAATAATTTTTAAATTTTTTAACTAAAATATGAGATAAAAAAAATCAATATGTTTAGAATAACTTTTTAATTTTTTACAAAAAAATAAAGAAAAATAAAATCTTTGATTTTTTTATATAAATTATAAACTTTTTAAATTTTCTTAATAACTTTTTAACTTATAAATTAAAACAAACATTTGTCAAACGAGGCCTAATTAATGACTAATATTACCATACAAAAAGGTTTTTGAAATCTTAAGAGGGTGATTGACCCCTCTGAGTTCCCTCCATGTTCATCTTTGTCCACATGCTTTAGCCACTTGATCAGTAATTATTAAATAATTTGGAAATATTAAGTGATATTGTCTCCGTTGTGCTCCCAACCCGCTCGGTAATTATTAAATAATTTCCAAATATTATGTGATATTGTCTCCGTTGTGCTCCCAACCAATAACGTAGTGAAAAAATTTACAAGTAAAACTACGTTCACCCACATTATCAGCTAGTCAGAAGACGAAAAACGCCTGTCTGTGTGTCACGATTTTCCTTTAGCAAAGAACAACACGTAACCACACGTAGGCAATATCAAATAATATTGGCGTACTATTTAATAATTTTCCTTGCTGATGTTTATATTTTGCTATGCTCATGAAACCATGGAAGATAACCGAAACAGGCCTCACTATCTGATGCCAACAATCTTAACAAAACTTTTGTTTTTCATTGGGTCCCACCATGGGTCCAATCGGGCCATTTAGTAGGTCATAGTGTCCAAGTTTAAGAAACTGATTTTCTCTGGGCTGAGTTTGGGTTAGCAGATCCAGCCCATGTCCAATTAGACGGCCCAAATCCTACCCACTTGATAATTGGGCAGGTTTGGGCTACCTTCTTTCAACCCGCCCCAAATCCGCCGGGAAAACAATCACTGCAGGAAGCATATGCCCTCCAGGCTCCATAATTATAAAAGACAAGTCCACTTCACAAATAAAAACAATGAAGCAATCAACCAATTTTAACAAATAATAACAACTCTTTTCTGTTCTTAATTCTGAGGTTCCACAAAAGCTAAAAGAAATAAGCAACAGTAGAAAAAAAAAAAAAAAACCACAACAAAATACTATTAAAGAATATATATATATATATATATCAACCACAACTGCACAGCCTACTACTCTTGCCATATCCTCTTTTGCAGAATTAGTATAGATCTATGTGTTCGCAAAGACAACAGAAATCTACCTATACCTTCCGAGAAGATCAGCATCACTTGAAATGTGTTCTCCAACATGATTGTCGTCTATAAATAACTGTCTGCGACATAGAAAGAAAACAATTTCAGAAATTCCATCCCTTTTATTGACAATATAAACAACACAACACACTTTCTGGCCTCAATGAGAACAAAGGCCGCTATAATCACCACAGAAAGCTACATTCAATTATTTTATGTAAACTTCTACATAGCCTTGGATATATATCAGAATTCATGTTACATGTAAATGTCAGCACAATGCAGAGAACAAGCATATAGTTTGTTTTCAACCCAAAGAAAAAATCATCCTCTTTCACAACATAAAATGTGAAAATCCACAGCATAAGTAGCCCAGAATCAAACAAGAACATAAAAGGTAATATCAACCAGGAGCAAGAACTACATGAACACAAAGTAAATGTAATCCAAATTAGAAAAAATCAATATCTCTTAAATCGCATTGACATGGCCCTAAATCTGGTATGTTGGACTTTTGGGTCAGCTGTGCAAATCCTTTGTTTTCTTTAATTTTTTTTCTATGTAAATGAAGTGCATTTTATTCTGGGAATCAAATAAAAAATCCGACAGCATAGCTCTATCAATAGGAAGTTTACACAAATGGGAGCAAATATCTTCACATGAAAAGGAAGATGGTCTGTAAAAGAACACCTATAATGCTCCATTAATCCAAAATGCACTTCGACTCCCCTTGAACCATTCTAAAAATTTTGGGGCTTTGGGTTTGGTTATTTATCAGGGTTTTCCCTGTATGTTGGCGTTTGTGTAGATGATTTTCCCTTACAGGTTTCATATCCCCTTAAAACGGCAATAAATTTTTGCCACTCAACTAGTTAAGGACCATATTATGTTTAATTACAGGTCTTTACCGACTCAACAAACCATTTTAAGCTTTCTTGTCCACAACTCCATGAAATCATGCATCCCGGTAACTTAAGGTTCACTAACCAAACACTTATTTTATACTTCATCTCCATTGATGCCATATCCTTTGTTGAATCATGGGCTGCCATGCCCTTTCTCCTTCCACTCACCCACATCATTTTTTGCATTCCTCTAAACCGTGTAGCATCTCTCAAAATAAATCAGTCCACTTTGACAAAACAATTGCTACTCCTCTGATCATCATGGCCAGTAAACCACACAACTAAAATGAATCGTTTTCAACTTGTCATAATGCCTCTCCACCACCTCTCCATGATTGATTTTTTATTTTATCTTTTGTTGTACAACCAATTAACCATACCACCATCAGTCCGTCATCATTTCCACAACACTTATTTCAGGACTGCATAGATGACTGAGTATTTCGTACATCAACAAACAGTTAATCTTGAAATATTTTGCCTAAGATTCAAAAGGCTTGACAAAAGGCAAAAACACAAATAAGCCTTCATGGGATGAAACAATTTGTGTCTTCATTCGATGAAACAAAGCATAACATAATACAGTAAACGAATTCACCCAAAAAAATAATACAGTAAGGGTGGACCATAAAAAAATTACCTGTTTTTTTTTCCCTTGGGACAAATACAAACCGTCAACTAATAAATAAGAAATGGCTTTATTCAGGAGAAATCAAGGCACAAGTTCACTAAGCAAAATCCACTGGACCGCCTTACAATCATATTGTTTATGTTAGCAATGTCCTCATAATATTACAATGCATGCAGATTTTCTTCAGAAAATGAATAAGTTGTTGCTTTTAAATTTATATTGCTCATCAAGTAAACAATATCATGTACTATCTATAACCTTGCTTTTACAAAAACTTTCTCATAATTGCCATCACACACTCTCAATTTTGCCAAATAAGCCATATGCTCAATAAGTTGATTCATGGCTTGTTCTTTAATATTCCCCAAAAGCTTGATCTATTAGGGAATGTGCCAAACAATACTTACCAAACTCTTACACCCTCCCTCCCACCCATGCAGGAAAAAATTGAACTTCCCACGAATGCTTTCATATCCAATTCTGTCCTCGACCATTTCAGCACCCATTCATGTTAACATCTCATCACCCAGACTGATTCTGTAGATATATTGTTCCCCAATAACCCAACATTGTCAGGTAAAACTATCCCATCATTGTGGATAGTAATGTATGATCACTCACCGCTTAGAACTATTTCTCAATCTATTCTTCCCACTTCAGTTTTTTGGCATAACATCCTTCAATGCCAAACTACTTATTTTTTGTTTGTAAACTACATTACTCGCTTCCATTTCTGTTAATATTTACCATCTCTATCTATAGCATAATCTACAAATACTAGCTCCAAAAGTTTTTTTAAAGTGACAATCCATTTCATTTAAATTAACACCTCATTAAAGCATTTCATTCTTTGTTGTGCATAATTGAACCATCTCACTAAGGTCCTTTGTTGCTTCCTCAAATTGAACATTCACGTATTGTAGCCACAACATGTCTAATCTAATCTTCTACACCACTTCACCAAAAAGGTTGAACATCATTTTTAAGATTTCAGGAAGAAAAAAAAAAGGAATGAAAATGAGGCTACTACAAAGAATCACCCTCTCTCATTGATCAGTTTGTCTAAACCAAAATTATTCGTACAATATCACAAGGGGAAGAGGTGCTATTGCATAGTCCAGAAAACATTTTCAAATCAACCCATAGAGGTAATTAGCACTTCTAAGCCTATCTATATTTCCTGCCAGAGAACTTCTCTTTAGTGGGTGAGGGGTGTAGGTGAAAATGTAACATCTCTTGGGCATAGTATCAAAAATTATCAACTAAATAAGAATGAAAATAGAAGGTAACAAGAAGACTGAAACACGATTCCAGTCACATTTTGCTAAAGTTGTGGACATTAACTACCAGGTCAACCAATGGGCATATACCAAAAAGAGACCAATAAAACTAGTAAAATAATCTTCTCTAGCTAAGCAATTTAAAGGCGCAAAAATTATATAGCAAAGTCTACTGAGTTGTCTGAATTATTGGACTAACAGAGCAGTGGATTCGAAAATGGTGCCCAACCCCTAAATCCTTTGGAAAAAATTACATTAAAACAGAAAAAGAAAAAGAAAGAAGCAACAACTACTTACCTATGGAACTAAACCGTGAAGTTAAGGAATGGGCATAGCACATTGTGAGATCTAAATGCTAGTGAGGCATTATAGGAAGCATTATGGTCATGCACCTTAAGGCACATGTACAAATCCTTAACGTACAATTCCACATCAAAACCCTAAACCAGTCCAAGTGCAAAAAGGATGATGTTAAGTTCACTGTCAACAGAAGGCACTTCTTCAAAATCCGTAGCCCAGTTCAAAAGAAGCAAGTCAGCAAAAAATTAACATTAACTTAGTGCAAAGGTTGTTTATCTACTAAAACAATATCATCTACAAACAATATACAACACGGAACATCATCTTGAATTGTGTTTAGTTAATTCATCTATGACTAAGGTAAATAGGTAAAAACTTAAAGTTGGGCCTTGACGCAAACCTACAGATCACAAAATTTACTAGGCTTTCCTGCAGATGATCGAATTGTAATCACAATCCCAGCATACTTGTCTTTTTTTCGTGTCAATATATCATTTGGTCACAACATTTTTTTCTAATACCCACCATATTATATTCTAAGCATTCTATTGAAAGCTTTTTCTAAATCTAAAAAAACATGTGTAGTCTCCACTTTGTATTTTCTATTAATCTTCCTAGTAAATATATTGTTTCCATAATTGAACTATTGATCATGAATCAAAATTGTTTCACTAACACTATTGTTGTAACTTGTAAGCCATGCTCAATCACTCTCTTCCACATTTTTATCGTATGACTCATGATCTCAGTACTCATGATCTCAGTACATATGATAAAATTTTACTCAAATGGTTCACAAGACCTAGACATTCATAACATAAAAATAAATTTAATGAAATAAATAATGTTCAAGGATAATAAGGTCACAGGTAGTTCAACCCTCGGTCCCTTGCTACTAGACAATGGATTCAACCCAACCCAACCCAACCCAATTTTTTAACAACACAACAGAAACCCTCCTTTCTATGTCAGCTAGTCAAAACTCATGGCTTCAATTTAGGCATATAATACTCAGGTTCTGTTTGGAATATTGCTTTAGGCTAAAATAGTCATATAGGACAAAATTGACTATTTTAACCAAATATGACAAAATATTATATCCAACCCATAATCATTTCATTTTTTCTCTCACAAAAGTCAAAAAAGCCAAAATACCTATCTCAAACGAGACTTTTAGCCCCAGACTAAAATAGCCAAAAAGCCAAAAAACTAAAAAGCTAACCCACATCCCAAACAAAGGTCCAGCAAACACCAATATCATATCAAAATTGAACAACAATCTTGTTCCACATCCATGGAAATGATATCATAATACTCAACAGCTCAAAAGGCATAAGCTTCAAACTGAAGTTGCCAGCTATGCAAACCATTTGACTCCCTCACATTTCACACTTCACTAAATCTCATTGTCACTAGAAACCCCAAAACTTTCTTTACACAGAGATATATGTATATAATGTATGTGCAGATAAGCGAGTGACCATGAGAGAGAGAGAGAGAGAGAGAGAGAGATAACAACAAATTGGAAGAATTCTTTTCTTCCCTCTCTTTAGTTTTTTAACACACTAATTTGTCAATAAACACGGAACCTAACAGGCCTGCTCAAGACAAATTAATCAAAGTCATATGAGCATAGAAACTTTTTTTTTTTTTAATAAAAAGAAATTGTTCTAGATGTAATACACAGAGGAAGAGAATAAGAAGAAAAAATTAATACAACATTTTGCATGAACCATTCAAACTTACAAGAGAAAGAACTCCACCCCTTGACGATATTAAAACTTTTAAAAAAATAATAATAATAAAATTAAGAAAGCCTAGAAATAGGGTTTACCACATCCCTTGCCCCAAAAAAATTTAATCAAGTCCAAAACTAGTCATTTAAAGATTTTCCAGTTCAAAACAGACACTTAAAATTGTCAGTTTTAGCATAGCTTCTCAAATGGCACACAATTAGTGTTGAACATGAAGTCTTGTCATTAAAATATAGGAGTAATAGAAGTTCATGGTTCACAATAGAACGCGTTGTCTTCAACAATCTAGAAGCATTTAAATGTTGAACGGACAGTAGAGAAATATCAGTGAAAAATTCTCACCAGCTTCTGAAGTTCGCCTTGCGCGCTTCATCTTTTCGATCTGTATCTGCGAATCCATGAAAAGCTTCATTCTCTGGATCTCCAAATCCTTTGCAAACTGCATCCTCTGTTTCTCCAGCTTTATCATCTGCCTCTGCTTAGACTCCTCCACTCTCTCATAAATCTCTCCCAGCCTCTCTATCGCCTCCGCCAGCTGCCGGTACCCCTCCGTCCCGTTCCTACCTCCATCCCGCCGCCGTGTCCCGCCGCCGCTCGACCTAGACCTCGACTTCTCTGACTCCGCCTCCGCGGCCGCAGCGGCAGCGGCAGCAATCGCCGAAAAGTTCCGCCTGAAAAAGGAATCGTCGACAACCGCCGGCGGCATAATCGCCGCCGGACGCTTCGACCGGGGACCGACGGGAACCAACGACGGCGACGGAGGGAGCGCCGGTGGTGTTTTCCGATGAGTCGCCGCCGCAGGGGAGGGCTTGTAGGAGGAACCGATGAGAGAGTCTAGGCGGGAAAAGAAGGGCCACTGGCTAGTATAGCCGCCGCTGTTGGAATCAGAAACCCTAGCTTTCTCGATCTTGTACCTCTTCTTCAAGGTGTCGATGCGGTTCTTGCACTGAACGTCGGTGCGGCGGGCCTTCTTGACGTGGCCGTGGACTGCGTTGACGGCGTCGGCGACGTCTTGCCAGTGTTTCTGGCGGAGGTTGCCGCGGTTGAGGTCGAGGTATCGGTCGCCCCATGCCTCGACGAGCGTGTAAGTGGCGTCGTTGGACCAGCAATCTTCTCGCACCGGCATCGAAGACGGCGGCTGCGTCGTCGCCGGAGAAGTGGGGGTGGCTCCGTCGCTGTCCTCCATTGAAGTGGTGGTGGTGGTGCGTCGGTGGTGATGAGTGGGGGGAGAGGGAGTGCCGGCTGTGGAGAGAGATGTCAGTGTGAGTGAGGAATTGGTACGGTCGGTTCGACGGGACAATTTCGTTTGCGTTCGTGCGAGCGCCGACCAACGTGCGAAGTAGTAGTGAGGTTTCTCAATTTTTTTTTGAGTTTCCACAGCTAGCACTGGACAGAATATTGCTTAATCCATTAAAATTGCACTAATTTATATCAATTTATATTGTTCTAATCATTCATCGCAGTTTAAATTTTAAAATTTATAATCTGTCTTTCCAACCGTTCTGCTATAATTAATACATATATATTTTATAACTTTCAATAAAATATCAAAATAAAAATGAATATGAGAGAGATTTAAGATATGAAATTTATTACAAATTAATAGTTATATATATAAAACATATTGTGTAAAATTATTTTGTATTATATATATATATATATATATAATATTATATAAATTAGTGTTGTATATTATATAAATGTATGATAACTAGTTAGAATATTTTTCAATCCGCCAATCTGCTAAAAGCCGCCCAAACTGTAATTTGTCAATCCGTTAATCCACCAATCTGGCATTCGATTTGTAATTTTACTTTGAAATCACCCGAACCGCACTGCGTACACTCCTATCCACGCCTGCTTGGGGCTCTTCTGTTTCTGTCCTCGACTCGACTCAGCTCGATTCTGATGCAGTTTCAACCACTCATCTTCTAACCTTCATTTTTCACATTAACTTCAAAATTCAACAGGTTGATAAGGTAAACTAGGAAAATGCTATAGGTCTTAAAATTTCTACTCAATATTTTATCAAATGTCTCACATAGATATAAGAAAAATGTTTGGAAGCTCTAAATTGAGAGCACTAAAGGAGCTCTAGAGAGTGGGTCCCACTGACTGATGTGATGTTTTGGTCTTAAGTTTTTTTTTTCTTTTTTTTTTTTGAATTTCCACCTCATTAGTGGTCCATTAGTGCTCCCAAATTAGTGGGATGTATCATTGTTGTAGATGTAAATACCACACTTATGTGGAACCCACCCTATGTGAGACACTTGGTAAAAATATTTGATAGAAATTTTGATATCCCTAGCATTACTCGGTGAACTATAGTATAAGATTAAAATGATTAATATTTCATTGTTGGGTAAATTATACTGACCTCTCCTAAGGTTTACCTTAATTACAAGGACCTCCCTTGTAGTTTCAAAAATAACACTAACCTCTTCTACTTTTGAAAATAATATACAGATTCCCCCTTCCCGTTAAAAGAGCATGAACGACGTTAACTTGACAGCCGAATTGACCATAATACCCTTGAACCATATTGTGAAAAGACATAGTCGCTGAAAGAGAGGGTTCTGGTCGTTTCTTTACCTCTCGAGGTAATCTAGTACTTGGAGAAGTGATTCCTCGTCAGTGGGTTCATTGTCACAAAGATCGAAGAAGATGGAGGAGTTTGCGATGACGACGGTGGTAGTGGATGAGGGTAAGAGTCCGGACCAAATGGCGTTTGGCCGAAGAGTTTCTAGATCTAGATCCAGATCCGTCGAGTATGAAAGCAATAGCTTTTCTAGGGACTTTTCGAGTGAATCTCTACTGGGTTTGGAGACTACACTCTCCAGCGAGTCAAGTCTCAGAGATAAGGCCACCGCCATGGTGGCGGAGGACAGGAATGCATCAAGGAGAGAGTCAAGTGTAATGGGATTTGTAGTGGGTTCATGATCACTTCCTCATCCTTTTCATCTTCTTACTGGGTTTCACCTTCAATTGAAGAAAATGGGAAGTCAACAGTAGTGGTGGTGGCGCATGGAAGAAGTAAGAGTTGGGTTGGGCATTTGCAAGTCCAATTAGAGCTTTCAAGCCTTCTTCTTTTTCAGGAAAGAGAGAGATTTCCAACAAAACCACCATTTCAAACCTCAATGTCATTCCTTCATTGTTGACTGTGAGAGGTTAATTAGCTCCATTCTACTCTCTCTCTCTCTCTCTATTTTTGTATGTTTGAACTAGTTTTGGGTATAATTTTTAAAGATGTTATTTGTCAAGTTCAAATTAATGTGAATTGTTTTGGTTCTTTGAAGTTCAATGTTGATGCAAAAAAGACACTTGAGATCCAAATGGGACTTCAAAGAAAGATACATGAATCTAAATTGTGTGCCCACCAAGAATAGTCATCTTGAATCTTTGTTCTAAGGCGCTGTTTGGGAAGCCCAAAATGAGGCTATTATAGCCTATTTTGAGAAATTAGCCCAAAAGCAACACTGTTGGAACCTTTTTCAAAAAAAGAAAAAAAAAAAAAATTATTCTGCATAGCCGGCAGTGTAGGCACAGCCTACACTGTCAGCTACAACACTTGTTCCATCAATAAATAAATTACCATTTTACCCCTTGATATCAATTTAAAAAAATATATTTTTAGGGATAAATTTGCCATTTTAAATTTAAACATCATTTCAACACACTTTCCAATACAACAACTCAACTAAAAATTCATCCCATCTTCCCAAACACAAAACTAAAATAGCTTACTGTAGACACCCCATTTTTGACCGACCTTAAGACTCAAACGTCACCGATTGAGCGCTTGGTGATGTTGAATATCGTGCTCGTTCAGAGGTTTCAAAGTCTCGGCTACGAGCCTTGCCTCCAAACTTCCGAACTCTTTCATACTTTGCCTCGGTTTGCGAACTAGGCTCTGTTTTCTCTGTTTTCTCTGCCCGAAGGGAGGGGAGAGGTCTCGTAGATCATCTCTCAGTGGCCGTAGGCTACGTTTCGTGGTCGTAGGCCATTTTGCCCGTTTGGAGTCCGGTTTCCGGTTTTTCAAAGTCGTTGGCCGTGTGCCTCGGTTCAGGACCGCTTAACCACCTCCGTTTGCTCCGGTTTTTGGCATGCATCTTATTTGCTCCCTTTTGAGGGACACTGTGGCTCGAGAAACCAACTTCATGGTCAAACACCACTTCCGGTGCCTAACAGTCAGTTTTCGGGGCCTCGAGCTGCGCGTTTCGGCCCCCGAACCTTCATTGTGCATCAGTTTGAGTTCATTTTTGGCAGGGACCTCTGTTTCATTGTTAAGAAGGTTGTAGAAGGGTAGGAGGCCAGTAATTGTTCTGACAACCAGTTTTATTCCTCCATCGCCCTCCGTCGCCCGTTTTTCCCACTTGAAAGCCAATGTTGACCACCCTAAGGCCACTTTTTCTTGCCCCAAACCACATATTTGTGTTGTACACACCTGGGAGGCCACCAATATCATATGGCCGGCCAGTAATTGTGTGTGACCCTTTTGAACCCCTCCTAAAAGTGGCCTTTTCTCTCTCCTGGTTCACTCTCCAGTTATTTTTGACCACATTGGTTGTGTTGTGCACACATGGGAGGCCACCAATCTTGGGTGGCCGGCCACTAATACCTCTTGACCCTTTTGACCTTGGCTGGCCGGCCGGCTATGGGAAGGGCCGGCGGCTACCTGCAACTTCAATAACCGGCCGGCCATGATCCCTCCTCTGGTACATTACAAATATGTATTTTGTTTCCCCCCAGATTGTGTATCCGGGGGGCTGCACTTTTGGGGGGAAACTTGAATTCCATTCCCCCCCTTTTTTCCCCCCTCTTTTGCCTTTATAACAGCACCTCCAGCTGCATTTCAAGAGGTTAGAAATTTTGGTTTGGAGCTCCTACATTGTATCTCTCCCTCTCTACAATTCCAAGCTCAAAACCTCCCAAACCCTACACCATTTCTACACCACCACCTAGCACCACACCACCACCATCCATTCCAGCCACTTGGAGCCGTTTTCCAGAGCTAAGGAGCCACCAAACTTGGTCCAAGAGTTGTCAAAGGTTTGGTCTTCAAGGGTAAGTCTTCTTCTCTCTCTTTTGTGCTTTATTTTGCTCAATATATTGGCTCCTCTTTCTTGCATATTTGGGCTCTGACCCTAACTGAATATAGCATTATTTTGAGCTCCTTTTCATGTTTGTTTAAGGGCCTCTCCCCGTTTGAGGCTTCCTTCTTACACTTTCTTCTTTACCTCTCTTGTGTGCCTATTTCTTGCATAGTATTTTAGGCATATTTTCAAACTGTTTTGAGCTTGGTTATAAACTGAAAAGTGGATTATTTTGAGCCCTTCTTCAACATTGTTGAAGGGATCTTCACTGTTTGAGGCTTCCTTTTGTCACTTCTCTCTTTATTCCTCTTTTGGCCTTATTTTTGCATGTTTTGTTAGCCCCTCGTGCTTGTATTTTTGGGCTCTGGTCCAAACTGTAAATAGCCTTATTTTGACCCCCTCTTCATGTTTGATCAAGGGTCTTTTGCTGTTTGAGTCTCCCTTTTTTCACTTTGTGTTTAAACCTTCTTTTAGGCCTATTTCTTGCATAGTATTTTAAGCTTACTTGTGCACTGTTTTGGGCTCGGCCATAAACTGTAAAATACCTTGTTTTGAGCCTCTCTTCAACTTTGTTGAAGGGCTCTTCATCGTTTGAGGCCAGAAACCATCACTTGCTTCTTTGTCTCCTTTTTGGCCCATTTCTTGCACAATAGCTTAGCCATACTTGTGTTTGTTTTTGGGACTTGTTATAAACTGGAAATATGTATGTTTTGGGACTGCCTTGAATCTGTCTTCACGCTTCATGATCAAATAGTGCATGTTTTGTATAGCTATAGGTCATTGTGCATGCCTAGTTTTGAGTTTCGGGGTTCATCTCATGTATCGGGTACCATATTGCCATGATTTGGGGCTGTTTTGCATCATATTTTGCTACTGAAATTTGCATGCTAGTATGCCATATTCCATGCCTTGCCATGTCTTGTTAGAGTGGCATTTTGTGCCTTAGGATCGGTCCTCGGTTTGCGTGCATGTGTGCACGCATCTCGAGTGTCTCATTTTTCATCTCATGGCTACTGATGTGAGTGTGGCTGAGGTTCATTCATGTTAGTGTAAGTCCATTATGCACTGCGTATGCCATTTCAACTCATAGCATTGCGTATGCTAGGTTGTATGTTAGAGCATCGTGTATGCCATGTTACATCGTGCATTGTGTATGCCATCTCATAGCATTGTGCATGCTAGGTTGTATATTAGTCGCATTCATGCATGTCACGCATATCGCATTGTGCTTGGGATAGGGGTTAGCCCAAGCACGGGAAACGAGGTACGTTTCGTACTCCGAGTGACGGAACGTGTCTCAATTCGTGGTCGCCGACACTCCGAATTATCCATGATGGAGT